GTCTTACTGCGAGGCCCCATGCATGTAAAATTACAAATTAATTAAATGGGACTAGGGGCAGTGACTCATGCCTATAATCACAGCACTTTGGGAGTCTGAGGTGAGAGGATTGCCTGAGCCCGCGGATTCGAGACCAGCCTGGGCAACTTGGCGAGACCTCATCTCTACAGTACATCAAAATTAGCTGGGCATGGTGGCACGTGCCTATAGTTCCAGCTACTTGGGAAACCTGATGCAAAAGGATCACCTGAGCCCAGCAGGTCGAGACTGTGATGGCTGTGAGCGTGCTACAGCACTTCAGCCTGGGCAACAGTGAGACTCCAACTCAAAAAAAAAAATTTAAATTGTATGCTTTTTCTCCTGTTAACTTCTCTGTTGTCAAGTCAACTCACAAGCCTCCCAACCACTGAACCTAAAAGGAAAGAAGACAAGTTTTACCTTCCCTTCACTGTACTATGCAACAGTTTTGCTCTTAGGAATCTATCTAAGAGAAATGAAACTAAACGTCCACACAAAACCTTGTACATGAATGTTCATAACAGCTTTGTCCATAGTAGCTGATTCAGGTTAGACAGAATGTGGTATATTCATACTGTGGAATATACTTAAGCAATAAAAAGGCATGAAAGACTGATATGTGCTACAACATGAATTAATCTCAAAAACAGCGTGTCAAGTGAAAAGTCAGATAAAAAAGACTACGTATCAGATAATTACACTTATATGAGATTTCCAGAAAAGACAAATTTATAGAGACAGAAAGTTGAGCCATGATTACCTGGACCTGGAAGCGGGAGCAACAATCGACTGCATATATGCTCAAGGAAAGTTTTTGGAGTGATGGTAGTCATCTGAAATGTAATGAAATGAGAGCTACACAACTCTATAAATACCAAAAATCATTGAATATGATGTGTGAACTTTAAGTTTTACCTCAATAAAACTGTAAAAATATGACATTGATCCTCTTGGATTGCATCACAGTCAATTCTTTGGATTCCTATTTTTTTTGAGTACGAGTCTCACTCTGTGACCCAGGTTGGAGGGCAGTGACATGCTCACAGCCACTGAGGCCTCGACCTGCTGGGCTCAGTCGATCCTTCTGCCTCAGACTTCCAAGTAGCTGGAACTACAGGCATGTGTCACCACACCCGGCCCATTTTTTTAATTTATTGCAGAGGAGGTCTTGCCAAGTTGCCCAGGCTGGTCTCGAACCTATGGACTCAGGCAATCCTCTCACCTTGGCCTCCCAAAGTGCTGGGATTATAGGCATGAGCCACCGTGCCTGGCCTTGGATTCCATTTTTTAAACAATCACCCTGTTCTAGTTTGCTTGAAAACATACTTCTGGAAATTGAAAATGTTGCAAGTAAAATATTCCATTTCCAAATTTGGCATGCAACATAAAAATTTCGCCGGGCTCGGTGGCTCAGCCTGTAATCCTGCGCCTTTGGGAGGCTGAGGTGAGCGAATTGCCTGAACCTGCAGGTTTGAGACCCGCCTAGGTAACTTGGCGGGACCTCATCTCTACAATAAATCAAAAATTAGCTGGGCATGGTAGCGCGCGCCTGTAGTTCCAGCTACTTGGAAGGCTGAGGCGGAAGGATCGCAGGAGCCCACCAGGTCGAGGCTGCGGTGGCCGGGAGCGACCACTGCACTCCAGTCTGGGTGACAGAGTAAGACTCCAACTCAAAAAAAAAAAAATTTCACAAGCACATATTAAAATGTTATGGAGAGAAATTAAAGATACCTTAGTAACTGGAAAGTCAATATATATTGATAGAGATGAGGTCTTGCCAAGTTGCCCAGGCGGGTCTTGAACCCACAGGCTCAGGCAATCCACTCACCTCAGCCTCCCAAAGGCATGAGATTACAGGCTGGGCCACCGAGCCCGTCTTAATCAATATTTTTTATTATGATATTGTGGGGTACAGTTAAGGGTTAGGTATACAAATATCCTTCGTTCAGGCACCCTTGTTGATGGAAAGTCAATATTAAAAGATATCAATTTTTGAATACTGACCTATAAAATCAGTGCAAAACTAATAGGTTTTATGTGTGTATAGGATTGTGCATGTGTGTGAGTAGTGCAGAAATTTAGTGAACTGAGTCTGAAATAGAAATATGAAAACAAGCCGGACTCGGTGGCTCAACCTGTAATCCCGTGCCTTTGGGAGGCTAAGGTGAGTGGATTGCCTGAGCCCGCAGGTTCGAGACCCACCTGGGCAGCGAGACCTCATCTCTACAATAAATCAAAAAATTAGCCTGGAGTGGTGGCGCATGCCTGTAGTTCCAGCTACTTGGAAGGCTGAGGTGGAAGGATGGCCAGAGCCCAGCAGGGTGAGAGTGCAGTGGCATGCTCACACTCAGCAACAGAGTGAGACATCCACTAATAAAATATAAAATAAAATTATACATTTAGGACAGTGTGATATTAGTAGAAGAAAAGACAACGAGACCAATGGGACAGTATAAAAAGACCATAAACAGTTTCAAACATATGGAGACTCTTTTTTTGTGGGGGAGGAGTCGTAGTCTCACTTGTTTGCCCAGGCTGGAGTGTAGTAGCACGCTCACAGCTAACGCAGCCTCGACCTGCTGGGCTCAGACAATCCTTCCACCTCAGCCTTCCAAGTAGCTGGAACTACAGGCATGCGCCACCACTCCAGGCTAATTTTTTGATTTATTGTAGAGATGAAGTCTTATCAAGTAGTCCAGGCTAGTCTCAAACATGTGGGCTCAGGCAATCCTCTCACCCCGGCCTCCCAAAGTGCTGGAGTTAATAGGCATGAGCCACTATGCCCAGCCTATTCCACCTCCTAATGCGTATTTCCATATTACATAGGCTGAAAAGCTAAAAACTATACTTCCCAGACATCTTGCAATTAAGGTTTTAGAAGAGATTTAGGCTCAGTCAATCATATGCCTTCTTGTGAGATTGGAAAGGCAGAAGGAAGGTGATCTGCCACTTCTTCCTTTCTGTTGGCAAAGCATTGTTGTGGAGGGGTTTGATCTTACTGTGCTAGCTAGTGTTTGCAAAGGTTACAGCACAAGACAGTGTCTGGGTGTCGAGGGGCAGAGTGCTGAACCTCCATTGTTGCTGGGGGTAGATTGTTGTAGCAGGTGTGGTGTGTTTTATGGAACAGGAGCAGTAAGTACCTCTTGACCAGGGCAGTCTCAGGATAATATTCAGGCAGCTACTTATATTAGAAAAGAGAACAGCTCTCTCAGTGACTTTTAGTCTTTCCTAAAAGTTTGGCCTAGAGTCTGTCTTCTTCAGGATTCTCAGTGATTCTGTAATGAGTCCCTTTCTGTTTAAACTAAAGCGAATTCTCAGGCCAGGTGCGGTGGCTCATGCCTATAATCCCAGCAGTTTGGGAGGCCGAGGTGAGAAGATTGCCTGAGCCCACGGGTTCAAGACCAGCCTGGGCAACTTGGCAAGACCTCGTGTCTACAATAAGTCAAAAAATTAGCCAAGTCTCAAACCTCTGGGCTCAGGCAATCCTCTCGCCTCCGCCTCCAAAATGCTGGGATTACAGGTGTGAGCCACCGTGCCAAGCTGCACTTATCAGTCTTAATAATGAAGTGGTAATGCCTGTCTCCCCCATTAAATTTTAAACCCCATGAAGACAGAAACCACGTCTGTTTTGCTTACCAGTGTATACCCAATGCGTAACACAATATATGACAAGTAATGGGCATAAACAGATATTTCTTAAATGACAAATAAATGGATGTAATCATCAAATAAATAAATTCTTTTTTTTCTTTTTTCTTTTTATTTTTTGAGTGGGAGTCTCACCTTGTCGCCCAGGCTGTAGTGCAGTGGCACACTCACGGCCATCCCAGCATCAACATGCTGGGCTCCAGTAATCCTTCCACCTCAGCCTTCCAAGTAGCAGGAACTACAGGCGCATGCTACCAAGTCTGGCTAATTTTTGATTTATTGTGGAGACGAGGTCTTGCCAAATTGCCTGGGTTGGTCTTGAACCCTCAGGCTCAGGCAGTCCACTCGCCTTGGCCTCCCAAAGTGCTGAGACTACAGGCTGAGCCACCGAGCCAGGCCAAAAAATTCTATTTCTTGCAATTTGGAATCTAAACTAGAAATATGATTAGCAGGGGTTTATGTAGGCACAAACACTTTTGCATTCAAGTTCAGGCTACTCTCTGCCTTTTGTGGCTGGGCTTTTCATTTCTTTTCCTGAAATCAAGATGGCAACAGTATCTAGCTAGGGAGAATTTGGAATCCTAGTGCTTTGATAGGACTGAAAGGATGATGTTCAAAATATCAAAATGTAAGCCGGGCTCGGTGGCTCAGCCTGTAATCCTGCGCCTTTGGGAGGCTGAGGTGAGTGAATTGCCTGAGCCTGCGGGTTCGATACCTGCCTGGGCAACTTGGCGAGACCTCCTCTCTACAATAAATCAAAAAAATTAGCCAGGCATGGTAGCGCATGCCTGTAGTTCCAGCTACTTGGAAGGCTGAGGCAGAAGGATCGCCGGAGTCCAGCAGGTCGAGGCTGCAGTGGCCAGGAGTGGCCGCTGCACTCCAGTCTGGGTGACAGAGTGAGACTCCAACTCAAAAAAATAAAATAAAATAAAAATGTGAAACATGATTAAAAACACAATTGAGGACAGGCTTGGTGGCTCAGCCTGTAATCCCAGCACCTTGGGGGCTGAGGTGAGTGGATTGCCTGAGCCCACGGGTTCGAGACCCGCCTGGGCAACTTGGCAAGACCTCATCTCTACAACAAATAGAAAATTAGCCGGGCGTGGTAGCGCACGTCTGTGATTCCAGCTACTTGGAAGGCTGAGGTGGAAGGATCGCCAGAGCCCAGCAGGTCGAGGCTGCGGTGGCCGGGAGCGGCCACTGCACTCCAGTCTGGGTGACAGAGTGAGACTCCAACTCAAAAAAAAAACAAAACAGAAACCACAATTGACATTGTTCTACCTAGTCACAATCAACTTAAACATATGGGTGTCCATCATAACCAGAATGACATGCTTGTAAGAAGTGAGAATTACTTAGCTTCATTTATTTGTAATTATGATCATTACATTTTTATTTTGAATTGTAAGGTGGAAGAGGGGTTTCAACAGTGCAATTTTATTCTTTTATAAGCTACGCAGTAACATACTTTCAAAAGAATAAACAATAGAAATAGAAAAATTAAAAGAGCTCTTAAATGAATTAAAGTAGAATCAAAATAATCAATTGAAGTCACAGCTATCATAGTTAGCAATGGTTTGCATGTAGTTTGGTAATATTAGAAATCTTGGCACTTGGTAAATCTTAACAGAGCTTTGAAAAATTAGCAGCATGTGATATTGTCGCCCTACACTGGCGAGAGCAGTGCTCTGACCATATCTATTTTCATTGGGATTTAGCTTTAATTAATACATCCACATCGGCTTTGTCTGCCTCTCCAAGACTTTTTTGATGGTCGTCAACTGCGACATTGTCTTCCTTTTTACCAGGCCTCTGAGACCCACCATCTCTGGGAGGTAGAGGAGCTCCCAGGGCCACAAAGTTGTGTACGTCCTGCAGCTTCTTACGAAGCCATTCCACTCTCTCCATTGAGCTCAGATGCTTGCCCAGGTTGTGCATAAGCTGTATTTCACTCACAGATCTCTTCCTGGGAAGAACAGAAAAAGAGAAGGCCACTCCATCAGCTCCCCACTTCCAACTCATAAAGCCAACCTTAAAAATCCAATTCCCAGCCCAGGCATGATGACTCAGGCCTCTAATCCCAGCATTTTGGGAAGCCGAGGCTGGAAGATTGCTTGGGGCCTGGAGTTTGAGACCAACATGGGCAACATGGTAAGAACTTGTCTCTACAATAAAAAAAATAGCCGGGTGTGGTGGCTAGCACCTGTAGTCCTAGCTACTTGCAGAAGGATTGCCTGAGCCCACCAGTGGGAGTCTCAGTGCCCCGACTCAAAAAAAAAAACCAAACAAACTTCAAATCCCATGACTTCACCATTCAGACAGTACTTACTTAAGAGGTTTCCCATCTGATTTTGTAAGAAAACAAATCGCCAACATGACAATCATTACTTTAGCCATGTTTTTTGCAGATATCATCTTCACTGGAAGAAAAAGCAAGATGGAGGTATTTAAAAATATTTTTAATATTCCAAACTATATCAATAAATTTATAGTCATTTACATTTACAACCATACAATAGTGCACAGAGTGCAACAATAGCTGAGTAGGTTTTCATGAAAGGCTTTTATGCTGATATGTTAGTATATGCTATATATACACATAATTTGACTCAGAAATTAGACAAATCAGTTTTACTTTCTTAGGTATCTTCTTGAGATGTGTGTAAGTTGTAATATTTGAATCTTACACACATGAAAAGTGAAAGAATGCCAGACACGGTGGCTCATGCCTGTAATCCCAGCACTTAGAGAGGATTGCTTGAGCCCAGAGGTTCAAGACCAGCCTGAGCAACTTGGCAAGACCTCATCTCTAATAAATCAAAAACTTAGCCAGGTGTGGTGGTATGTACCTGTGGTTCCAGCTACTTGGAAGGGTGAGGCGGAAGGATCACCTGAAACCAGTGGTAAAAGTTGTGGTAGCCACGACCGTCGCACTTTACTCCAGCCTGGGTGACAGAGTGAGACTCCAACTCAAAAAAAAAGAAAAAGAAAAGTGAAAGAGCTTGCTTCTGAGAATTTTCTCCCACATTTTATGTTGGTTGTGCTTAAATACTTATAATTTGCTTGAAAATGGCTAATTATCTCAATTAGGTAAATTGTTAACACTGTTTATTTACTTAGCAAATCCTTTTCATAAGTAAACTTCATTTCAAGCACTGCAATAATAAACATAAATGCCAAATTAACAAGCTCTGATGTAGAGATTTCCACTGAATTAACACATACTTCCTCTAGTATTAAAAATAATGTCAAGGCACTTAAAAATCATCTAATTAATTATATGGATTTCAAGCTTCAGCTCTAAGTAAAATGCTTATTTGCATCCTATTTCTTCAACTTATTTTGTTTATAATTATCTTTTAATATTATTTTTGGCTCTTTTGCTCATAAAGCTTTTTATAACAATATGGAATATTCTTGCCTTAATCTGCATTTCACTGATTGCAAAGGCTGTTATTATAGAAGTGCTTTTTCTTTTTTTTTTTGAGTTGGAGTCTCACTCTGTTCCCAGACTGGAGTGCAGTGGCCGCTCCCGGTCACCGTAGACTCGACCTGCTGGCCTCCGGCAATCCTTCCGCCTCAGCCTTCTGAGTATCCGGAATTATAGGCATGCACTAACACGCCCAGCTGATTTTTTATTTATTGTAGAGATGAGGTCTTGCCAAGTTGCCCAGGCGGGTCTCGAACCTGCGGACTCAGGCAATCCACTCACCTCAGCCTCCCAAGGCACGGGATTACAGCCTGAGCCATGGAGTCCGGCTGAAGTGCTTTTTCTTAAGGAGAAATGTTCTACCTTTTAATATACAGAGTGGTTGCATACTCCTATTTTATAGGGAAATTGTATTATTTATAAATGGCATACTGAATATTTAATCTGGTACATTTCTGTTCACTCTACAATATAATCTAAACCCTTTTTTTTGAGTTGGAGTCTCACTCTGTCGCCCAGGCTGGAGGGCAGTGGCACACACACAGCCACCGCAGGCTCCACCTGCTGGGCTCAGGTGATCCTTCCGCTTCAGCCTTCCAAGTCGTTGGAACTACAGGCGTGTGCCAGCATGCCCAGCAAATTTTTCTTGATATATTGTAGAGATGAGGGCTCACCAAGTTGCCCAGGCTGGTCTCGAACCCCTGGGTTCAGGCAATCCTCTCACCTCTGCTTCCCAAAGCGCTGGGATTATAGGTGTGAGCCACTGCGCCTGGCCTTACTCTACAATTTAACACTAATAACGGAGCAATAAATAAAAATGCCCTTTTTTTGGTTCCTGTTAGTAACAAGCCCTGTAGCTGAAAGACAGGAGCACTGGTGTCTAATCCTAGCTTTGTCACATTTACCTAGTGACTTCAGACATTTCTGCTTTGGGCTTCTTATAAGAATGTCATGAAAAAGAGCTGGGAGCCGGGCTCGGTAGCTCAGTCTGTAATCCCACGCCTTTGGGAGGCTGAGGTGAGTGGATTGCCTGAACCCAAGGATTTGAGACCCACCTGGGCAGCAAGACCTCATCTCTACAATAAATCACAAAATCAGCCGGGCATGGTAGCGCATGCCTGTAATTCCGGCTACTCGGAAGGCTGAGGCGGAAGGATCGCCGGAGCCCAGCAGGTCGAGGCTGCGGTGGCCGGGAGCGGCCACTGCACTCCAGTCTGGGCGACAGACTGAGACTCCAACTCAAAAAAAAAAAAAAAGAAAAGAAAAGAAAGAAAGAAAGAAAGAAAAGAAAAAGAGCTGGAAAATGGTTGTGAAACACTCTTAAAATTCATGTAATGCAATTTTCATGAAACTCATGAAATACAGTTTTGTTTTGTTTTTTTAGTGGGCGTCTCACTCTGTCACCCAGACTGGAGTGCAGTGGCCGCTCCCGGCCACCGCAGTTTCGACCTGCTGGGCTCCGGCGATCCTTCCGCCTCAGCCTTCCAAATGGAGTTGATCCATCTTTAGCATACAGACTGAGCTCTTTTTTTTTTTTTAGTGGGAGTCTCACTCTGTCGCCCAGACTGGAGGGCAGTGGCCGCTCCCGGCCACCGCAGCCTCGAACAGCTGGGCTCCGGCGATCCTTCCGCCTCAGCCTTCCGAGTAGCCGGAATTACAGGCATGCGCTACCACGCCTGGCTGATTTTTTTTTTTTTTTAATTGTAGAGATGAGGTCTCGCCAAGTTGCCCAGTCGTGTCTCAAACCCGCGGGCTCAGGCAATCCACTCACTTCAGCCTTCCAAAGCGCGGGATTACAGGCTGAGCCACCGAGCCCGGCTCAGACTGAGCTCTTTAAGGGCCATCAAATAAACAATTCAGATGAGGATATTCTGCAGGAAAAATGGAACTTTAACTCCACTTAATACATTTATAGTGACTATTTATTTATTTTTTACCACTCCATTGCTCAGATTATAACAGAATGTCTGGTCTATTTCTCTCTGTCTCTGCCTTGCTCTCTTTCTCTCCCTCTCCTCTCTCCCTGTTTCCTCTCTCTCTTTCTCCCTCCCTCTCTCTGTCTTCTTGTCTGCCTCTCTCTCTCCCCTCTCCCCGCTTTCTCCCTCTCTCCCTCCCTGTCTTCATCTCTTTCCTCTCCTCTCCTCTGTGCCCGCTCTGTCTTCCTCCCTTGTACCTCTCTCCCCCCACCCCCTTCCCTCTCCCTCCCTCAGTTATTATTTAAATCAGAACTATTCATCAGCTTGTTTTATCTCAGAATTTTGATAGATTCTATTCAAACATAGCAGGCCAATTTTTAATTATTTTTCCTATAATCTCAGATGAGGTTTAAAAAAGCAAGGTACCTCAAAAAACCTTTATCACAAAAATAAATACTTTAAGAGTATTTTAGTAGCATATATTTATTTTGTATTGTGACATTTTATATTAAACATAACATGCTGACATGTTACCTTGAAGAAACAGAATGATGTTTGTAGAAAATGATAAATATAATTACTTGATTATCAAAAATCTCATTAAATTTAAGAGAATTGTTAAGATTACTTACCAAACAATGTCTTAGGACAAGATCGTTCAGGTGTATAGCAGCTGATGTTGTGTAAACTAGAGAAAGCTGATTAACTGTACTGCAGACCTTTAAATGTGACTTTTATATATAGGTCTTCTGTTCACCGAGAGAAGCTGTATTATTGTTACAGATGATATCACTCTCAATTCTCTGGATCTCAACTACAGGATCAAAGCAGCACACACACCCCCATTGGGCGGTGCCCACTCCTCTTGTGTTTTAAATACTTGGATACTAAAAGGAAAACAGTGTAGGGCTGGGAAAAGAGCTTAAGAAGGCTTTTAACAAATATAGAATTATACCACCTAGAAAATTTCTAACTGGATTGCTGAATCTGAATTTATGCTAGAAAAAGACTGATTTCAAATAGTTATGAGAAAGTTGCCATCTTTCTTGAAAGTCAAACCTGAAAATAAGTATATTTGCTATAACCACACTATTGGTACAGTTATTATGATAAATAAATCATGTGTTATGCTTACTTTATAAGCCATTTTCAACTAATCTTATCATCTAGCCATCTTTCAAAAAACAGATACAATGATTTTCTTAAAAAAACTTAAAAATGATTTGAGAAAATGCTCTTAGTACATAATTATCTTTCAAACCTTCAAAAGTGAAATTATTTTGAAATTTATTTAACTTTCATTTTATTTGTGCTTTTTAATCAGGAATAATAACATTCAATAAGCACTAACTATATGCCATACTTTATACATATTATCCACTAAGGCTTCCCAGGAGTCCTTTAAAGTAGGTACTATTAATATCCTCATTTTCACATGAGGAAACTTAGGTTTGGAAAGTGGAGAAGAAGGAATTCAAAAAAGGTCTTTATGATGCCAGGACCATTTTGATTCCTTTTTTTTTTTTTTTTTTTTTAGTTGGAGTCTCACTCTGTCACCCAGACTGGTGTGCAGTGGCACACTCACGGCCACCCTAGTGTCGACCTGCTGGGCTCCATGGTCCTTCCACCTCAGCCTTCCAAGTGGCCGGAACCACAGGTGTGTGCTACCACGCCCAGTTAATGTTTTGATTTATGGTAGAGACGAGGTTTCATCAAGTTACCCAGGCTGGTCTCGAACTCATGGGCTCAGGCAATCCACTTGCCTCGACCCCTAAAGTGCTGGGATTATAGGCTGAGTCACGGAGGCAGGCCTGTTTTGATTCTTACTATTTCAGTTTCCCCCTAGAAATATAGTCCTTTGAACACTAGTCTTCTTGACTTTAATTTGACTAGCCCTTTGCAACCTCTGAGCTGAGGGGTTGGGTCTTGATTCTCATGTCCCCAACTCATGATTGAGAGTCTGCTCCAAAGCCAAATGGATGCAAGATGCTGCCACCTGTTTGATTTCAAATGTTGCTACAGGTTGGTCCCCACCCATCAAAACCCTGTTAATGTCCTTGCTATCTCTAGGGCTCATTTTGGTAGCTTTGCCTTCCCACTAAGGAGCCGGCTTCAGCGTTGGATCAGTACTCTCAACTCTGGGCCAATGCAGGCTTCATGTTATCTCCTTCCTGAGTATCCATAGCCAAGATTTGACTACCTCATGTAAGAGCCAGTACAAGTTTGAACAAACAGTAGCTGTATAGAATCCAGTATGAGAGATATATATGTTCTCCTACTCTGGGAAATTCTCTACATTGGGTAAACTTCCCTAGGAATATTGCTCCAGGCTCCATTTTAGAAGTATTAGGAAAAAAACCGGAATATATCTTAATGATATAAATCAGTTTAGTGAAAATGTTGAAAAGCATAATACACGAGAAGCAGTTGAATGAAACTAGAAAAATCTGGGAAAAGAGACGGGATGACTATATAACTGTGCTTGATTATCTATAGGGCTACCATAAAGAAGAAAAAGTGTTCTTTGTGGTTTAAGAAGGAAGAACTGAGTTCAATAGCTAAAGATTACAAGGAGGCAGATTTGGGCCCAACTTGGACTTCATAACCGTCAAAATAAGGAATCAAGTTTTTTCTTAAAATTGTGATTCCCAACACTGGAAGCACACAAGTAAAAGGCAGATGAGCATTCGCAGGGATATTATAGAGATAAATACATAGAAAAGGGCTGAACTAGCCGGGTGCGGTGGTTCATTCCTATAATCTCAGCACTTTGGGAGGTGGAGGCCAGAGGATTGCCTGAGCCCAGGGGTTCAAGACCAGCCTGGGTAACTTGGTGAGACCCTGTCTCCACAATAAACCAAAACATTAACTGGGCGTGGTAGTGCACTCCTGTGCTTCCAGCTACTTTAAATGCTGAGGTGGAAGGATCGTCTGAGACCAGCAGGTCAAGGCTGCGGTGACCATGAGCATGCTACTACCCTTCAACCTGGGTGACAGTGAGACTCCTACTCAAAAAAAAAAAAAAAGAGAGAGAGAGAGAAAGGGCTGGACTAGATAACCAAGAGGTCCTTTTCAACTGTAAGAATTTATTGTTTTTCTTTTTAAAGACCTCCTCTGACGCAAAGTCTACGCATGATGTTTGTGTATCATTTTTCTGTTATACTCTGTTGAGAGGAAGGAATATTGGAAATATGAATGGTTGTACACACACACACACACACACACACACACACACATATATATATATATATTTTTTTAGTTGGAGTCTCTGGTGCCCAGGCTGGAGTGCAGTGGCACGCTCCCAGCCACCACAGCCTCAACCTGCTGGTCTCCGGCGATCCTTCTCCCTCAACCTTCCAAGTAGTTGAACTACAGGCGTACACTACCACACCCGGCTAGTTTTTTATTTATTGTAGAGATGAGATCTTGCCAAGTTGCCCAGGCGGGTCTCGAAATCATGGACTCAGGCAATCCTCTCACCTCAGCCTCCCAAAGTACTGGAATCACAGGCCGAGCTACCGAGCCTGGCCCATATTTTTCCACTATTACTGTAAAGCAGTGATTAACATTCTGATCTGGAGATTTTCTCCACTTTTTTGATAAGTTTGATGTTATTGATAGCCTTTCAAGAGTGATGCAATTATCACATTCACGATCTTCCTCCTATTACACTTATTTATAGAATAAATTGTCCTACCTAAAGCAACCACATGGTTAATCTAATTTTATAGAAAAATAAAGCAAACAATTTAGACGACGATCATTCATCCAAAAAATATGTTGAGTTTCTACTGTCTGCCAGAGGCTGTGTTAATCACTGGATTATTGAAACATGGCAGCGGCCTTCAAATTTCACATATAATTAATATAATGTGAGAGGTGCTATAATAGACATATGAGCAAAGGCTTATATAAGCACAGAGATGGGAGTGACTTAATTTCCCTGTAGTCATAGGAAGCAAATCTACTGAGAAGCTAACGTGTCCTCAAAGGCAATTGTGACTTTTCCACCAGAGAGGGTAAGAAAGGGTGGTAGGAACAGCATATATGCAGATGTGGAGGCAATGAAGACATGCTTGTAGAAGGTGAAATGGGTGATGACTCCAAATAAGTAAGTTGGGTACAATACTGGAAGGCTATTGTGTCAATGTCAAGGAATATTGTCTTGTAGTCTTCTCTAAACTCTAGGCACGTGTGCATTAGTAATATGTTTGCGTCCTTCAGTTTTCTGAAGGACAACTTGGCCTTCCTACAAAGAAGAGATGGAGCTGTCAAGATTTGGCACGCATTTTATCTGAACCATCAGACTCTGGGACTGCAGGCATGAAGGAGTGAAGAGGCTAGAGGCTGTGTGGGCACAAGACACTGATGACAGTGACAGAGAAGAGCTGAGCACAGCTTTTTGCTTTGGAAAGCTCAGCCTTTCTTAGCATTCTGAAGTTTTCTGAAGCTAGGCTTAGACTTCCTACTATATTTCTCTCATTTGGGAAGGAGAAAGAGCCATGCGTCGTGTTCTTCTCCTTATGAGAGGTTTAATTTGAGACTCATACTTTTCTTTCTTTTTGCTCAGTAGGAATGATTGTGGGGACTGAGCATCCAGAAGAAGCGTCCCGGGCTCAAATATCCAGCCACAGCTCTTCGAATTCTATGTTTTATAGCCAAATTGGACGATTTCCACCTTTTAAAAAAAGGTTTATTGAGATATTGATATATCTCAGAACTGCATATATGTATATTTTTTGAGTCGGGGTCTCTGTCACCTTGAATGGAGTGCAGTGGCATGCTCGTGGCCACCACAGCCTCGACCTGCTGGGCTCAGGTAATCCTTCCGCCTCAGTCTTCCAAGTTGTTGGAGCTACAGGCGCACGCCACCATGCCCGGCTAATTTTTTGATTTATTGTAGAAATGAGGTCTTGCCAAGTTGCCCAGGTTGGTCTTGAACCCGCGGGCTCAGGCAATCCACTCACCTCGGCCTCCCAAAGCGCGGGATTACAGGCTGAGTCACCGAGCCCAGCTGATGGTGTCTATCTTAACAGTTGAGTTACTCTCTTGCTTCAAGCCCTTCCTCTGTAGAAACTGAGCTGCTTTTGATATGCCAGGAAAAAACTCTTTCCTTCCTGTTTCCTCTCATCCATCCCCAAACTTGTGGTTAGAGACCATGAACAAAATGTTTAAAATGACTTAGCACATCATAACTGATTTGGGGGAGGGGCTCAAGTTCTCACTCTGTCACCCAGGCTGGAGTGCAGTGGCACCGTCATTGCTTACTATAGCCTTAAACTTCCAGGCTCAAGTGATCCTCCTTCCTCAGCCTCCCGAGTAGCTGGGACTACAGGTTCATGCCACCACATCCGGCTAATTTTTAAATTTTTTTGTAGAGATAAGA